CTCTCTCTCTCTCTCTCTCTCTCTCTCTCTCTCTCTCTCTCTCTCTTTCACTCACCTTGTTTTCTTTCTGCTTTCAGTTGTGTAAAGCCTAAAATACTTTGGCTTACCTGTGATTATTTTGACAGATGCGGCATATAATATTGAACACTGTGCTTACAACAAGTGCCTTAAACTACATACATGTATGTGGCATACACACACGCACACATACACACTCCTAAAAAGACCCACAAGCAGACAGACCGACAGACAGACAAAGACATTGCATATCAAAGAACAAAAAGGCGTTGAAGCACAGCAAATTCAATTCAACTACTGTTGCTTAGTCTCAGCTGTTGTTGCCGTTTGATAAAAGGTCAGGCAAGGCAGGGGGCGTGGCGAACTGAAGTGGCATGGGACGACAGCAAAAACGGAGCCCAAAAACCCAAATAATATTAATATGCAAATTGAGTTTTTTAGTTGAGTGATCTAAGCGGATAACTGTGCGGCCCAACAAGACAAGACAAGACAGACAGGAGGCTGGGGATTGGGATCTAGGGGACGGCAATGAGCCTTGAATGGACACGTAACCCCTAGAGATCGAGTCAGCTCAGCTCAGTTCAGACCGTCCAAGCACTTTACTTTATTGATTGCCCCGTCAAAGGATGAGCCTGGACAGGGCGAGGGAGCGAGAGCGCCGAAAGAGCCGGGAGGAGGTGCTCTAGCTGGAGCAGGAGCTCTGTCAATGGCAGCGAATAATGCGAGCATATATCGCACATTTCGATTCGAAATGCGACTTGTGAATCAATTGAAATCATATTTTATTAAACGTTTACGGGGCCATTTCCCACAGCCGCCACGAGGCAAACAATGCCAGCAGAATGAATGTATATACACACTTCAGCCTTGGGGGCCACTGGGGCACAAATCAATGTTTGTAGCTGCGTGTGTGTATATAACATAAATCGGATCAAAATCAAGCAGAGAGCAGAGGTCGGTGGAGGAGGAGGAGGGGGCGACTACTAGCCGCCAGGCGGGACACCATACAAAAATATTTACAACAAGAAGTTTGCGCTGCATAAAATGTAAACCAGCTCGAGGCAGAGCATAAACACATAAAAACGAACAAGATGGAAGAGGAGCACGAAGCAATAGTATTGTCAGAGGATAGGCATGGCTGCCTGGAGAATGGGTGGTGGGTGTTGGGTGAGAGAGGGGCGCAGTTATGAAATTTGCTTTTCTGCATGAAATGAATTTCCAAAGAAATTGAAAATGAAAAGCGCAGCGCGCAGATTGAAAGCAAACTCCGACGACGCGTCGAGGCGGCGGTACAAAAAGCCGTGCGAAATGTGTAGAAATGGCACGATTCGAATTTCACAGCCGCGTGGAGGAGGCGGTGGGTGGCACCGTCTATGCCAGTTGGTGGCAGGCATTTGCCTTCAATGTCACGGAATTGCTGCAAGTTGTCGCTGATGCTTTAGCTATTTGCCTGAAATCCGAGCCGATTTGTTTTTTTTTTTCGTTTCTTTTTTTCATTTTGAATTTCTTTTTTCGACTACGACTGCGATTGCAGTTCAAAGCAAACACCGCAAGCAATTGATTTATAATTACGAACCGGGCACGGAAGTGAGCCGCTGCCAAAGCCATTTAGCGATTTGCTCAATTAGTCCAGACATGAAATTGAAACCCAGCAGCGTTCCAGCAAAGCCGCACGACAGGTGTCCCCCTCTGTATCTCTCTCTCTCTCTCTCTCTCTCTCTGTCTTCGTGTCACTCTGCTCTATGCTCTGCTCAATTTCCGCTTGACATGCTGTTCGCTGGGCAATTTCTTTCCATTTCGTTCCGTTCTTTATGTTTTCTTTCAAGTTTGCCTTCCACCTGTGGCGCACCACGTTGCGTATGCGTAATCTGCCTCTGTCGCAGCATAATTTGCTGCTCTCCCATGCGCTCCCAACAGCTAGCATTTCTTCGTTATGCCACGCCCACAATAAAATGGTATACAGAAAACAAAAAACTTTGCCGTGTGCTTTGCTAAACATATGCAAATTAGAATATTTGCATGTGGCAGGATAACAGAGCCTCCGGCTGCGTACCACAGATTTCACTCACTGGACGTGGCACACGTATGCGGCATAACAAATCGTATGCCCATAATGTGTGTGTGTGTGTGTGTGTGTGAGACTTTGTGTATGAAAACATTTTCAGGCACTGTCTGTCTAGACAATATTTGAAGCCAATTTGTAGTTGCATTTATATGGAGTCCTTTGGCTTAGACTTTAAATGTTTATATAACAAGTTTTCTTGAATATGATTAGAGGGAAAGCATACAAAATTTCATTAAATATTATTAAAGAAGTGAAACTCTCGTTGTCTGGGCAAAAATATTCAAAATTCTTATTAAGCAACAACTTTATTTGTAAATAGAAATATTTTAGAATATTTTTAGGCAAATAAAATGTGAAATTAAGTAAAAAATGAAAATAAAAACTAGCATAAATTTGAACATTTTTAAATATTTA